TGTAAAAGAAAGAGACAACGTTAACACAAAATGTATAATTCAATGAGATACTATTATCAATGAGATACTATTACCATTTAGCAATGCATCGAAATTAATATTTTTATCTTTTTATCTTTCTTTCTTTCTTTCTTTATGCTTTTAATACGTAGATGAAATATAATCTTTAAATGTTAGCTTTTATTAGAGTAAACCCAACTTATATACATACATACGTATGTGTGGGATGATTCGTAGGCGAGAACGTATGGCTGGCTTTTATCTTACTTTTACTACTGACATAATTTCACTATTACATTGTGTATAATGAAAAACAGATGGGAAGGAATTAAAATGAAATAAAAAAAAATAAAATAGAATTATTAAATAATTTCATATAATAAAATAATAGAAAAAAAAGGAGAAAGTAAAGAATATATTTTATATCATATATATATATATATATATATATATATATATATATATATATATATATATATATATATAATAATTTTCATTGTAAAATAAAACAATTTATTTCCTAAATTTCATTGGATGGAAGAAGCGTTCTAAAATCTAATTTCTTCAAAAAAAAAAAAAAAAAAAAAAAAAAGAAAAGAGAAAAAGGAATAGAAAAAGTAAGAAATAAATTAAATAAATTTATCGACGAATCGATAAACAAAAATAAATATTTTACACCTGCTAAGTTTCTTCTTTGTGCGATGGAAGTAAATTATTATTATTATTATTATTATTATTATTATTTTTATTTTCATTTCTTTATCTAAAATTTCACTTTATTTTTCTTCTTTTTCATTTGCTCATTTTTCTTTTTCTTTTTCTTTTTTTTTCTTCTTCTTTTATTTGGAAGAAAAACTGTTTGAATTCAGAAAGAACTTCTCCAGGAATTATTCTCTGAAATAATTCCGAGCACGAAATATATGGAGAGTATGTATACATATACACCCTCATACATGTATATATATATATATATATATATATATATATATATACCTGTATGTATATAGACATACATATATACAATAAACAAGATTTTCTATGAATAATAGTACGTACGTATAGTCGGTATGTAGTAAATATTAATCGAACGAAATGGAACAAAATTTTAACGACAACCATTTTTCAAATGGATACTATATAATTTCAAGGACGTTTCAGCAACAAATTCATCTTTCGATAATTTTTCTGACATTTTTATACGAATATATATATATATATATATATATATATATATATATATATATATGTATATGAAAAAAATATGTATGTGTATATATATAAACGAAGAAGAAAGAGGAAAAAAAAAGAAGATAGAACAAAAAACGGCAATGCAGGTCTGAAATTTTTCATCGATATTTTATGCGAAGTACGAAGAAAATATGTTTTTTTCTTTTTTTTTCCCTTTTTCCCCTTCCCACAAATTCAATTCCTTCATATCGACAAAATTTTGATTCACCTATCACGAAAACACTTCTTTTCACAATTTCAATTAAGAAAAGTTTCCTATTCTTTTTTTTCTTTTTTCATTTACTATCCTTTGTTTCTTTCAAAATCAAAAAATTAAGTTCTAATTTGTTCAACAAAGTCGAAAGTTTTAATTGAAAATCTTTTATTCGAACGAAATTATCGTTTGTTTTTGTTTTTTCTGTTTTTTTTCTTTTCTTTTCCCTTTTGCCGATTCGATTTTTGTATCTTTTATTATTTCCTTTTTTTCGAGAGCGACGAAAGTTCGTGAAATAATTAATAATGACGAAGGAACGAATATAATAATTTTCTGTTAATGTTACATATATATATATATATGGGGTTTGTAATTTTCTCCACGAATACGTATAATATTCTCGTTTGAAAGGGTATGTAGTAGAAAAAGGGTGGAAACGAGTAAGAGGGTGTTTCTCTGGATTACCTTGATCCCAAAGTTTGCTTCAGCAATTTCGACGGGCAGAAAAATAACAAGAGAAAAAGAGAAAACGGAGAGAGAAAGAGAGAGGAAGCGGGGGGGAGAGAGAGAGAGAGAGAGAGATAAAGAGATAAAAAAAAAGAGAAAAAGACAGAAAAAGACAGAAATAAAGAAATAAAGATAGAGATAGAATATCTTTGATTTCTTTATTCTGTTTGTTTGTTTTTTAATTATTCGAAATAATAATCTTTACACTTTCTGTTTTCTTTTTCTTTTTCTTTTTCTTTTTTTTTTTTTTTTTTTTTTTTATATAATTAAATTTATTCATCTTATTCTCATTATTATTACTACTTATATTAGATAGAAGTTTTCCTATCTATCGAATTTTTTCACTTAACAAAATATTTTTCTTTTTTGTTTCTTTTTTATTTTTTTTTTTCTCTCTCTCTCTCTCTCTCTCTCTTTCGTTTCCTTTCATCAATAAATTAATTCTTCTCTCTAATCGCAATTATAAAATTGTAGAACATTTGACATCATAAACCATCGCGATATTTTCAATCGACAAATGAATTAAATTGCCTTCCTTTCATTCTTTCGTTCTTGTTTTCCCTTTATTTTCTCTTCCTTTCTTTTTTTTCTTTTTTTTACATTTATAAAAAAAAAAAAAAAAAAAAAAAAAAAGAAAAAAAACAAGATTATATACTCTTCACTCTTTTTAAACAGAAACGTTTTATTGAAGGTCAGATTTTTTTGATAATAATTCATGATCGGTTAAAATGTTCGTCGAATAAAACGAAAAAGATTTTTTACACCATTTTATCCCATCTCACCCTTCGCCCTTATATTCTTCAACGTTCATTTGCCGCTTCCTATGTACCGGTAGATATAATAAATAGCTGAGAATATTCATAGTATATGGTATATAAATTCATGGTGATGTTATTTGGAACGTGGTAAATATCTTGTATGAATATTCTATGAGGGAACTTTAACATTGAACGATTAGTTAAAGGGACGTTCATTGGGGTTACTTTGCGTTGATAAATATTGTTAAGAAAGAGAAAAGAAAAAAAAAAAGAAAAAAGAAAAAAAATAAGAAATTTAAAGAACGCATAATCTTGGAAGAAGCAATTTTAAAAATAATATTGACGATTTAACGAAAAGAACAAAGAAAGGAAAAAACAAACAAACAAACAAACAAACAAACAAACAAACAAACAAACAAAACAAAAACAAAATAAAATAAAAAAGAAACATTTTCATTTATTCGTAATTTGACAATTAATAAAAGACAAGAGGTGGTGATGGTGGTGATGGTGGTGGTGGGATAGAAGGGAGACAGGTTCCTGAAGGAATTATTTTGATTTTAATTAAGACAAAAGAATTATTATTATTATTATTATTTTTTTCTTTTCCTTTCATTTTTTTTCATCTAACGACTTTCTCAAAAAAAAAAAAAAAAAAAAAAAAAAAGACTTTGTTCCTATTGACTTCTTATAATTCACGATATATATAATGCCACGTAAGATGATTAATAAAAATAAACATTGACGATTATTTATAGCCACATGACACTTGTACGCCATTCTATTTTTATTTCTATACCCTTTATCGAAATAACCCTCTAGACTCTTGTTAATACTAAAAATAGAATGTCCTCGTATCGATACCATCGTCTTCATCATAACCACCACCATCATCATCATCATCATCATCATCATCATCATCATTATCATCATCATTAGTATCAATCGTTAGATCGAGAATAGATATCATTCTCCAATAACTTCTCTAATGCATTGACCATGATAATATAAAACGTATGTACACATAATACATATACATATGTATACATACGATATCCCATATCGATTACTATACCATTTTTATCTTATCTCAGATATTTATTAGAAAAATTAAAGAGTATGATTAATATTATATGACATTACATTAAAATTTTCAATATATAAATTCAATCAAATATAAATTATTAATTACTGATATACAAATAATATATATATATATATATGTATATATAAATTATATTATGTCTATTTAAATATTATATGTAGAAATGTATATAATACTAATCGATGTACGATATTTTTCTACTCTTTTTTTCTTCCTTTGTTTTTCTTTTTTCGTTTTCTTTTATATATATATATATATATATAACAAAGCTATCCTAATCTCACAAGATTTAATTTTAATTTTAGACTCGCTTGCTTTAGTACCGGAAGAAGACTCATTACAAGTTGTAGACTCAGACTATACAGACAATGCCTTGGAGAATTTAATGCGAGCGGCTCAACAAAAGTAAGTATCTTGCTATTTCTCACTTTCTTTCTAATCCATTTATCCTTGATCAATATCCTTAATTGATTGACACATTAATTTGTTAATTTAAGAAACGTCATTCTTCTCAATCATGTTCCCTGAATTAAATAGTTTTCTAATCGATAAGAAAACAAATGGTCATTCCTTTCCTCTTTCTCTTTTCCAATATTAATTTTCCTATTGAAATCTTAATATTGACAAAAAAAAAAAAAATAAATAAACAAATGAAAAAAAAAAAAAAGAAAAAAGAAACGATATTACGTTTCCTCATTTTTGTTTTTGCTTTTCTTCTTTCTCTCTTTTCTGCTTTTTTATTTTCACCTGATCATCCCCATCACTTCCTGGTCACTTCCACTCCTCACTTCTCCGAATGTATCGATTATTAAGTATAAGGGATCTAATGAAGCCCCTAATCTCGAGTAGGCGTTCCTCGTTGATTCATTTGTTTAGACGTGCCTGCATAAGACGCGGTGGTAACTGCGATCACCGACCGAAGGATTGTTGCTATAGCTCGAGTTGCCGTTGCAGTTTATGGGGTTCTAACTGTCAGTGTCAACGGATGGGTCTCTTCCAAAAATGGGGTTAAATTGGACGATTATACAACACCCCTTAAATGACCCTGATGATCACACTATACCAAATCCAATACTCTTATATTTCATTTCCTTTTACATTGTATAACCCTTCCAACCCAGCCTTCCTTCTCCTCCTTCTTCTCCTTCTCCTCCTCCCCCTTCATCCTCATGTCAAAACTCGAAAATGACTACAACAAAATGGAGACAAAAAGATATTATAATAATATAATAATAATAATAATTATTATTATATATATATATAAATATTAATATATATACATATTATTATTGTTATTATTATATAATGATAATGCGATTCTAAATGATAATTAATAATTATAATGAAAACATTGACAGAAGAAATACTCTGCGCGCGAACGCGAATCCATTAATTCGACGTTCGATCAATGATCTATCCTTTATTTAATCGTACTTTATGTCTAATTCATTTGTTATTATTATTATTATTATTATTATAATTATTATTATTTTTTTGTTTCACTTTTTTTTTTTTTTACTAATTCATCACTGAATTTTATTCATTCGTTCTTCGCGATTTTCTTCCTCGTCGATTCACGATAATATTCTATCGTGAATTTTTTTTTTTTTTCCCCCTAATCTCTAGTCAGATTATTAATTTTATTATTACATTTTTTATTTATATACATATTATATATACATATATGTATATGTATATGTATGTATTTTTATTTATAGATATACGTCTAAATATGAAATGATTGTTATATAATAGAATCGAATGATACCTCTTTTATTTTCTAATCTCTGATTAAATATTTCAATTCTTTTCATTTCTTTTCGTCTTTTATTTATTTATTTATTTATTTATTTATTTATTTATTTATTTTTTTTTTTATTAATTCTAACCTTAAACATTAATTTCTTCTAATCTAATTGCTATTTATATTTCTTATCCGTACGATTGGAATAAGAAATTTCTAATACACTTTTGCGATAGACTGTTCATAATTTTTTTGTTCTTTTTTTATTTTTCGTTCGATTAGAAGAAAAAAGAAAAAAGAAAGAGAGAAAAAAAAAAGAAAAGAAAATAATTATTTAATCGATTTTTGTCAAGAACGTCGAAGAATATAATCTTTCCTATGAACTACCTCGTCTCCAATTGTTCGATTCTCTTTCTCTCTCTCTCTCTCTCTCTCTCTCTCTCTCTCTCTCGCTCTCTCTCTCGCTCTCTCTCTCGCTCTCTCTCTCGCTCTCTCTCTCGCTTTCTCTCTGTCTGTCTGTCCCACTTTTTCTTTCCTTTCTTTCTCTCTTTCCCTCTCTCTTTCTCTCTTCCTGACGATATTCACTCTACAAGTTCCAAGAACAACAACAACAACAACAACAACAACAACAACAACAACAACAACAACAACAACAACAACAACAACAACAACAACAACAACAACAACAACAACAACAACAACAACAACAACAACAACAACAACAACAACAATAGCAACACGTAGTTCTATCCACTGTATATCCTGGAAATAGGATCAAAGGATCAGAGTCAATTCAACGAAAACCATGAAGGAATCCAATCCGTGGTGCGATATCATCGAGGAGGATAAAAAAATATTATCTTGACGATATAAAATCTGAATAATATCATCGTTTTTTTTTTTTCTTCACGCGCTTAAACAATTCAATTGATTTTTGCGGATTTCCTTTCCTTCGTCGTATATGATCCTCCATGAAAGAAGGAAAGAAAAAAAGGAATGAAAGAAAGAAAGAAAAAAAGAAAGGAAAAAGAACAAAACAAGAAATAAATAAATCAATAGAAATACTCAACATTGGGAAGGATTAATTAAATGAGAACGAAGATTCGTCGAAGACCACGCAACGTCGTTTTTAATTTAAACAAATTAAAAACGAAGAGGAAATGATAGATAGGGGAAAAAACAAACAAACGAACAAACAAACAAGATGCAGCGTGAATTTTATTTTTCCTTTTTTTTTTCTTTCTCTCTTTTTCTTTTTTTTTTTTTTGCTTCTGCGTATTCTAATTTTCTCGTCTATTTTTGATTAGATTTTTCTTGCGGCCTAATGCTTCCCAAATCCTTTATTCGCGAGCAACGACGAACAATGGGATATATGTAATGAAAAAAATAACTGAATAAATAAATAAACAAATAAATATATATATATATATAAATATATATACTACCCGAGAAGTGTTTCTTCTTTTTCTATTTCCTTTTTCTTTTTTTCTTTTCTAAAGATTTATACGATGCTTCCCGAATGCTTGTGAAGGAACATTGTTTGGCAGAACGTTATAAATTTTGTCAGGGAAAATTAGATGCGGAGGGAATGATAATAAAAAAAAAAATAAATAAATAAATAAATAAATAAATAAAAGAAAAGAAAAGAAATTAGCAGCGATGACTTTTCAAAAAGTAGGAGAGTGAAAATTCGAAGATTAAAAGAAATAGTATTGAAATAAAAATGAAAAGAAAGAAAGAAAGAAAGAAAGGAAAAGAGAAGAAACGCAAAGCAAGGAGATCCGAATCGAATATCTATATCTATATTCGCGCAGATACAGCATCTTTGAATTTAAATACGACACGCTCATTTCAATTGATATATAATTTAAGTGAAAAAGAAAAAAGACAGAAAAGGACGAAAAAAAAAAAGAATTATAAAATTAAAAAGATTTCAAGATAAAACAATAATGTATGTAATTCACGCATTGTATCCGAAGATGGATGTAAACGTACTGATGTATATCATATGAAAATATAATATATATTATATATGTATGTATATGATTTATTTCTAATCTAAACACACAAATAATAATAAATTTTATCATTTATCTATAACAATATTAATTAAACAATAACATTATTCAGATACATAAACAATTTTTTTTTATTAATTAATAAAAATTGTCCGATTTGCAAAATGTTAATTTAAAAATTTTATATAACCATACATATCGTACTTACGTACATACATACACATATACACACATACGTACATATACATATACATGCATGTATATTTTAATCAATGTAGGAAAAATTGAAAAATAAATTGGAGATAAACCAACAAAAAAGAAAGGAAAAAAAAAAAAAGCTAATATATTATACATAGGCAAACACGCATGCACGCACATACACATATATAGATCTATATACATAGATAAATCTTGATCTTTAGATGTCGTACAAGTTGGAAGGTTAAACGAGTTAAACTTTCGAGTTAATGTGATATAAGTTTTCTAACTCTACTTCGACCTCGAAATTATACATTCATTTCGTATCATAAATTTTCTCTTTATTATCATAGAACGGATGTTTCAATAAAACGTTCCAATCGATAAACAAAATGATAATTCTATATATCAATGTTTTCCATTGATAAGATCCTATGGTTAATAATATCTTTAGGAAAATTAGATATTATTAGAAAATTTATTATTAGATTCGTTATTCGAGGTCTCCTCGATCATGTTTTTCTCTTCGTAAAAGCACACCATCTTATTCTCCGGTAAATTTACTTATTCGTTCGTCCTTTAAAAGCTCTTATTGTCTTCGAGATAAAAGCACTTTTATTATCATTAAATTTATCAACGTTAAATTAAAATTTTCAAATTTATCCGCGTGCAATATCATATACAAGATTTAACATTTATATTTCAAGATATAAAAGGATAAGAAACAATTTCATTTTCAATATTGATTTCAAAATTCATTGTGAAAAAAGAAAAATAATAATAATAATAATAATAATAATAATAAATGATTTTACGTTTAATTATATAACAAAAATTAATTCGATGAAAATACTAAGGAACAATTTCATTTGTAATAACGTATCCATTTGTAATATTAATTTCTAATGATAATTAACTAAACAATTTTTAATTAAAACTTATAAACGTTTTCTTTACCGTTCTCAAACAAAAAAAAAAACAAAAATAAATAAATAAAAAAATAAAACGATATAGAAATATAATAAATAAATAATTGACGATTAGAGACTAAAAATATCAAAGAGTATGATAAGATTAGATAATTAATATATAATATATAAATTAGGAAAAAGAGTGAAAGAGTGAGAAAGAGATAGAGAGAACGATTAAAGAAAGATTATTATAAAAGTATTAAAAAAAAAAAAAAATTATATAATATTAGACAATTGGGATGATAATATAAATTTTGATAAAATAGGATACGTATTTTACTGTTAGTAGATTCTAAAATGTTCGTGCACTTTATTGGTAGAGAAACTCATGGTAATTGTTTTTTTAGGTCATCTTGTGCGTGCAAGTTTTGTTCTCTCTCTCTCTCTCTCTCTTTCTCTCTTTTTCTTTCTCTCTTTCTCTCTTTTTCTTTCTCTCTTTACAATTATTATCAGCACGTACTAACGTTCTAATCTAATTTAGGATAATAAATATCTCGAGGACATACACACACACACACACGCACGCACACACACGCGCGCGCGCGCGCGCACACGTGCACACACATGCATACATACATGCAAACACACATAAATATAAACATTATTTAGTCGTTCTTATATTTTTCCTATTTTCTTTTCAACTTTTTTATTTGTCCTTTTAAAGTTTCTCTTTTTACGAGATGAAACATTATTTTCATTTTCACGAGCAACCTTTATTTTTATTTTTATAAATAACTAAAGCCGAGTGTTGATAGTGATGGGATTTTCTAAAGCTTGACCTTGATGAATTACACAATATACACATCGATATAAATTCGTAATCATCGTCTCTTATTATCGTAATGACTTTCTATCAGAATAGAATTTGATTTAAATTAAATTATTTGTAAAGTATAATTATTACGATAATTCGATATTCTCGATGATCAAAAAAAATTATTATCAAAAAGAAAAAACAAAAATTACGTTCAATAGCTTTAGCAATTCCGAATCGTTTGTAGAAATAAAAAATTTGCAAATAAACAAATAAAAAGAATAAAGATAATCAAAAGAATGTTTGTAAATAAATAAACAAATAAATAAATAAATTAAGAAAGAAAGAAAGAAAGAAAGAAAGAAAGATAAATGAATAAATGCAAAATAATAATTTGTTAATTATTATATAAATATAATTTTTTTTTTTATTATTATATATAGTTACATTTTTTTTTTTTTTTTATAATAACTTTAACGAAATTTAATCATCCATTACACTCTA